AATTTTAAATTAGTAATTAATTTGCATGTCTAATGATATTTAGGAACATAATTATAATAAGGGGTAAATTAAAAACTATTAATTATGTATGCATTTATCTCCATTTTTAATTTTACATTTTTATTTCAAATTTCTCAAACCAATCTAGCTGTTTCTGTTGAAACAGTGTAACACTGTTGTATTTATTTCAATTGAAATTTTGTTTTGTTTCATTTAGAAGGCCCTTTAAATGAGAACTTTTGTTCGATTTAGGCAAGTGTTCATGAAAGGAAATAACATTACTATAAAGGGAGTAATATAGTAATCATTCAGACCAACAATAACCATATAAAGTTGAAAAGTTTCTAAACAATAACAATTATAACAACAATATATATTATATTTTATATAATAAGTTATGGTTTCGATGTAAGAAACTAATTTTTTTAAAATCACATTTATTTAATATAAACTGTAACTTTACACAAGGATTCTATTTTAAAAGTGTCTATATGGTTCCGAGTCCCGAGTGGGTCTGCCGAAGACGGGTCTTTATGCTTACAATACATTCGTTGAATTTGTACATGGGTAATATCATTTGAAGCTCCCAGGGGCGGCTGATTGATAGGGGTTGCAATGGCCAAGGGTTGTCTCTGCGTGCGATACTATGTGAAGAGTTCATAAGCTGAGGTTATGACCAATAAACAATAGACTGGCACGTTGAAATGTAGGTAGTCCTGATGATTGGCAAAACATGGTTGAGTTTCAGCTCCTCTAATCCCAATTATTTAATGTTAATTGAGAACTTTGGCCGTTGATTCTTGCTTAATCCGAGCTTAACGTTACTAATAATTGGCGGCTTGTACTAATGGGTTCTTCAGTAGGAAATACAGCCAAATACTGGTTGAGCTCAGGTACGACGAGTTTTGTGTATGTACAGTTTGGTGGATCACCAGAAAGAAGTATGGCCTTGTCGCACAGGTTCTCCTTATGGTTGATTTGTTCGTATGAACATAGCTATTTAAATTTAGTTGGTTTTTTTTTACAATTATTATTTAAACTTATAATATCTATGTTATGGAAATATATTTTGGGTTTAAGAAAATAGTTAACATTACGTATAATTCACTAATTTCGTGGACCGCTTGACCAATTAATATATTACAATTAATTTAGGTTTTTAGTTGAGATAAAAAAGTCACTTGCACGAGCGGGATTCGAACCTACGATCTTCGGCTAAATACGCCGCCGCTCTACCACTTGAGCTATCGTGACCTTGATCCACTCGGACACTAACTTCCCATCTCAACCCCACCTTTTGAATTTTCCTCCTTCTTTTCCTCCTTTTTGCCGTTTTTCAAATGTCGTGTAATCGGGTTGGATTCTCGACGACAAATAAAATGGCCACGGAGAGTTTTAGTGAAGTATACTTCATTTTAAATCATTAAATTCACTAATTTCGTAGTCCGCTTGACCAATTAATATATTACAATTAATTAAGGTTTTTAGTTGGGATAAAAAAAAGTCAATGGCACGAGCGGGATTCTAATCCACGATCTTAGGTATAGTAGCTATGATGATGACAAGATTTATGTTGCCTACGTTTTTGCATTTTGAAAATCTCCCGGATTCGTCACTATGTAAAATTAGTCAACTAATTTTTGACATATACCAATGAAACTTGCTAACACTTCAGGCTCGCCCTTAAAAGTGGGTATCATGTAAAAATACTGGCTTTTTAACGTTTCTGGAAACGGTGGATTTATGATTTTATGAAATTCTGTACTTATTTTATGTACCTTATGTTTAATTTTACAAGATTTTTAAACTCCTATTTTAACGTATGATTTTGTCCTTCTTGAAGGTGGGATAATAGGTCATCTCAAAAAAACCACAACCAGTTTTTATCCACAACGTTTCGGATTTATTGTAATCCTTCCTCAGGTGAGTTAACGCCTGTACACAGAACAAATATTTTTTACATTTTTAGACCAACATGGTTATCATTGTTTTTTTCACTACATACAATGGTTAAAACAGTGGTCGTCAGTCATTAATATTTTATAACAGTTTATTTAAAAAAAAGAGCCAGTGTGGTACTTATTCAGACTACGAACAAACGTTTTAATATTTTGAACCTGACTAGACTCTTATCACAACCTCTCATGTGACGTGTTACCAATAAAGACAAAACACTGGTTTGGGAAATTTTAAAAAAGAATGGGTAAGCGAGAAAAATGGTAAATAAATTTATAAACAATAACAATCCATGGAAGATAAACCCAAACGAAAACTCGGAAAACCTAGGAGATGAAAATGATTCTGAAATTTCCTCTGTCACTTTCCCTTACATCCAAGGGTTATCGGAACAGTTGAAAAGTTGTCTGAAAAGGAATTTCCCTCTAGTTAAGTTGGCCTTCCGAAACAGTAATGCGGTTAAAAAATACTACTCTCCACTAAAAGATAAAATTGAGAAAGGACTACAATCAGGCCAGGTGTACACAATATTGAATGCAAAGACTGCAAGAAAGTATACTAGGGTGAAACCAAACAATACCTAAAGAATAGAATTTATCAACACAAATACACAGTCCAAACAGTAAAAATAATGAAACTGCCTTGGCACAACATGCAGTTGTTGAAGGCCATACATTTTTATTTGATGATGTTAGTATTGTTACAAAGGAACGAAATAGTAAAAAACGAAAGTTGCTGGAAGCCCTTTAGATAAAAAAAGATAAATTGTCTGTTAATTATCTTCAAGTCTATGATATGATAAGTGATCGCTATTTTAATTTGTTAAACAATGTATAAAAATATTTTAGTCAATTTTAAACTTTGGAGGAAACTTAAAAATCTGTGATAATAATTGTTAAAATATTGTTAATAAAATAAATAAAAATTGTTGTTTAAAAGTGGATTTTTAAGAAAAATGTAATTTTAACTGTCGAGTGGTTTTTTAATATTAATTCGTTGGTCTGTCGTAAGATGTTGATAAGAGGTTGAACGTCACATGAGAGGTTGCGATAGGAGTCTAGTCAGGTTCAAAATATTAAAACGTTTGTTCGTAGTCTGAATAAGCACCACACTGGCTCTTTTCTTAAAATAAACTGTTATAAAATATTAATGACTGACGACCACTGTTTTAACCATTATAAATAGTACAATTAATTAAGGTTTTTAGTTGAGATAAAAAAGTCAATGGCACGAGCGGGATTCGAACCCACGATCTTCGGCTTGATACGCCGCTGCTCTGCCACTTGAGAATTGGAAGTTGGTGCCCGACTGGATCGAGGTCACGATGGCTCAAGTGGTAGAGCAGCAACAAATGAATCTCAACTCATCTTTATCTCAAATAAAAACCTTAATTAATTGTAAGATATTAATTAGTCAAGCGGACCACGAAAACTAGTGGATTTAATAAGTAATTGTCGCCGAGAATCAAATATATTATAGGAATTTGAAAAATGGCAAAAAGGAGGGAAAAGTCAAAAAGTGAGGTTGAGATGGGAAGTTAGTGTCCGAGTGGATCGAGGTCACGTTAGCTCAAGTGGTAGAGCGGGGGCGTATCAAGCCGAAGATCGTGGGTTCGAATCCCGCTCGTGCCATTGACTTTTTTATGTCAACTAAATACCTTAATTAATTGTAATAAATTAATTGGTCAAGCGGAGCACGAAATTAGTGAAATTATAAAAAACCATGTTGATCTTAAAATATAAAAAATATTTGTTCTGTGTACAGGCGTTAACTCACCTGAGGAAGGATTAAAATGAATCCCAAACGTTTTGGATAAAAACTGGTTGTGGCTATTTTGGGATGGCCTATTATCCCACGTTCAAGAAGGAAAAATCATAAGTTGAACTGTTGAGGTCGAAATATCGTTACTCCTAGTTTAACTTCAAATTTACGTAAAAACTGTTTTCTTAAATCTTTTATAAAGCCTATTTTGTTGGTGGCAATAGCACGCAAAAATTTATTAAAGTTTGTGATTCAACTCATGGTACTAGGTGCTACACTTCCATGAGAATTCCTGTGTAGAATCTCTTCGATTGATTGGTACTTGCAGTAAACAATTAAATTGAAAAAAAAATTATATTCCCCAATATTCTCCGCAGGTGTCCTACCGACTGCGCCAGCTATCGTTTCGATGTAAGAAACTAATTTTTTTAAAATAACATTTATTTAATGTAAACTATAAATTTACACAAGGATTCAATTTTAAAAGTGTCCATACGGTTAGGAGTCCCGAGTGGATCTGCCGAAGGCATGTCTTTATGCTTACAATACATTTTCTGAATTTGTATCATTTGTAGTTAAGTTTTGTGCAGGCGTAACTTATATATAAAATACAAGACGGGCACCCTACCCACTTTCCAAAACCTATTATTTTCTGCATGTTGTAGCATTTTCAAAACGCCTTCACGTTTTATATTTTAAAAATGAAAACCTTTAACAATTTATAATTTATATAAAATTATTATTATCATAGAAGACGACGAAATATTTAGATGTGTTTGATGTACATGAATGAATAATGATTGTATAGTTTGTGTCGATTAAATCAACTTAGGTGGTTTAGAAATAATACAAGGTTTGTGAGAATAACTTTATTTTATTGTAGCATGTTGAAATAAAGGGAAAATCACATAGAGAAATCTTTTTGTGTTCTGGAACCTGACCCGGCCTGTTTTCCAACTAAATTTCCACTATGTTTAAAAGTCAAAGGTGTTTTTTTTCATCAGGTCACGTTGCCCGTTTACAATCTGCAGGAAGAAAGTTGAGATTGGCCAGTTGACTTTGGGCGGTACTCGGAGTTTATAAGGAAGTCAATGTCGACCTCGTCAACTTTCACGCCTCCGGGCACAGCAATGGACAAAAACGGCCGTATTTCCTCGGCCGGGCTCCTTTATTTCGTTTTATTAGCCCTCCATCCCACGGGGATGATAAAAATTTGCACCGTCAGAAAAAACATGTTTTTCTGTCCGTTTCGGAGTAATCTACTACATAATCCAATAAAAGACATGCGCCTTAAAAATGACAACTTAACTCTTAAAGACAACTTAACCAGCAGCACAGAATTATTGATTAAGAACTCATTGAATTATATCCAGGAATATAGGTGTTACTATATTAAAGAACTCAAGTATTTTTTCCCCCAATGAATGCATTGCCGGCTAATTCCAATAACCCCTCTTCAGCAATTACCATATTTATATCTTATGTTTTGTACATTTAATTACAAATAAATCAAAATGTTTACAACAAAAAACAAGATGACCTGACGATATTTCACCTTACACTCTGTTTTTCATATATTTTATCATGTTACTTGTTTTCGTATGTGTAGTTTACATGTCAATCTTGGTTTGCATTGTCACATTTAATTTTTTTTTAATGTAACTTTATGTAAAACGTCATTACGCTTTTATATTAATTACTAAGATTGTTAATGTCCTGCTTGGTATTTATGTTGTTATTATGTATTTATAAAAACATTTTCCAACCAATACAATTTTTACATTATTTTCATGATTTATTTTATGTTTAGTTTATAGTAATGTGCGAAGTCAATATCTATTTTCATTTTTAATATCATTTTTGTGTTAGTTTATTATATTTTTTAATTAGTTAAGTTTTTTTTTAGTTGAGATAAAAAAGGCAGTGTCACGAGCGGGATTCGAACCCTTGACCTTCACCTAGATACGCCGCTTCTCTACCACTTAAGCAGGCGGTACTTGTACCAATTTACAAAAAGTAAATAAAAAGGATAAACAGAATTATCGTTCCATATAAAATCTATCATTAACCTTTAATTAAGGTTTTGGTTGAGTCAAAAAAGTCAGTGTCACGAGCGGGATTCGAACTCACGACCTTCGGATAAATACGCCGCTGCTCTACCACTTGAGCTATCGTGAGCTATCGTCGATCCACTCGGACACTAATTTCCCATCTCAACCCCACCTTTTGAAATTTCTCTTCTTTTTGCCATTTTTAAATTCAAGGTTCGAATCCCGCTCGCGACACTGACTTTTTTATCTCAACTAAAAACCTCAATTAATTGAAAGATATTAATTGGTCAAGCGGACCACGAAAATTAGTGAATATATTTTTAAATTGAATTATACATATATTTTCTCACTCACTCTATATTTTATACATAATTTCACATTGGTACATTTTATCTATTGTAGGCATATTGGTATTTATCTTATTTTTCATATTGTATTTATATTCTTTCATTTACTATTATTTTTTTAAATTTTTTATCTGTTAACTCTCTCTCTCTCTCTCTGGTAATTCTCTATGTTAATAGAAAGCCACTAAAATTATTATTATTGCTACTATTGTGAACACCATCTTTTTGTGAAGATGAATAATATATACTGAAAACAACGTATCATTTACATATATTTTTTTCAATCAATTCTATTCTCAATTTGATTTATGTTAATATATTATTAATAACATTGATTATAAAATATAAACTGGGGACAGACAAGAGCCATCCATGGTTTGCTCATATATTTTACCTTCAAAATCAAAATATGCTTTTTCTAAATTTAATTATAAAATGTATAAAAACTGTGTTTTAGTTAAGTTTATTTTTTATTATATTCTATTTTTCATGTATTATATTCGTTTCCATAGAAACAATAACTAAAACACATAAACACATGGTTTTTAAAAATATTTTTATGTCTAGTGAATTTTATAACCATTCACTTTTTAAGTTTTAAAAATATTTTTGAGGTATTATAAAATAGTGACTTTAAAGTAATAATAACCCGTCTAAGTTAATATTTCTTTACTATTCATGGGCCATTAATGTATGGTTACATAGACATATTACTTTTGCCAAATAGTTACCTATTAGTAACAACTCTTTTTTATTGTTTTATATGTGGTAGTGTTATTATGGAAGATTTTTAGTTTTTTGACATATTCCTTTTTATTAATGATAAATGAATAAAACGGATGGTTTGGTTTTATCTGTTTATAATTCCATTAAGGCTGGGTTATTCCAGAAATATGTTTAGTGTTTGTTCAAATTCCAGATCTTTCCATGTAACATAACTTCATAATATGTAACATAACTTGATATAACAAGACCCGTTTGAAACTGTAGCCCCTATTCAATTATATACCATGGTAATTGATTGACGTGTCAGCTCGTTCGTCGGACCAAAATTCTAATGAGAACATTGACTTTAGCGATGGACTTCCATGGCATCTCTATTACGAACGAAAAAGGGACAAAGCAGCCAATAAGAAAACTTCATAACTTTCCCTAAAATTTCTGTTGGTTTGAATAACGCACATTGTTCTGTTACCGAAAAACAGACGATTTGTTTAATAATAAACTGAAAAAGTTTTTTCGAAATTGAAGTAGGTTATATAGTTTATTTTTAGTATTCTCTTCAAAGTGTGCTCTTTTTTGTGAATAAGTGAAAGAAAGTGTTTCTTTCCTAATCACATTTTTGAAGTGTGAAACTTTATATAGGAGAGTAAGGCAGGGAGATCTGCAACTTTTTCTCTGACGGAAGTGTGCCGGCTTTGGGGAAATGCCGCCGAAAACAAGTACCGTTTGCAACAGTAGCCCATTCCTCATCCAATTTTTTCTCGAGTTTTCTTAACGAAAGATTTAACTATTATTTTTTTAGTGTGTTGTTAAAATTTCTCATAATCTTAATTGGACTTAATATTGTGGCCGATTTCTTTAACTTCGATGCAACCATATTATACCATGTACTACGCACTTGTCAGTAATACCCGCCACTAATTACTAGAGTGTAGAACGTAAAAGAATAATTTATTTTATTTTACTCTGGTTGGACCATTTATTCAGGTTTTGGAGTTGCAGAGGAACAACAGCCTATAAATTTTTCTCACGTTACGTAAAAAGAGAAAAAATGAATAGTGGAAAGATAAAATATAATTATTTCATATTCTAAGTGTGAATTGTTTGATATATTGTGTCGAGAAAATAAGCATTTGATTCACCAAAATAATAATTCTACCTCCTTAGAAGGACATTTCTTAAGCTTATAATTCAAATATATACAAAAGAGTAGGAAAAGCAGTACTAGGATACAACCCCCGAAATGACAGAATGATCTCGATTCGAATCCAAGGCGAACCATTCAACATCACAGTAATCCAAGTGTATGCCCCAACCACTGGTGCTGAAGAGGATGAAGTTGACCAGTTATATGAAGCCCTACAACAACTTCTAGAAGTAACACCAAAAAATGATTCATGGGGGATTGGAACGCTAAAGTAGGAAGCCAAAAGATAACTGGAATAACAGGCAAGTTTGGCCTTGGAGTACAAAATGAAGCAGGACAGAGGCTGGTAGAATTCTGCCAAGAGAATACAATGGTCATAGCAAACACGCTTTTCCAACAACCCAAGAGACGACTCTACACATGGACAACACCAGACGGTCAACACAGGAATCAGATTGACTATGTACTCTGCAGCCAAAGATGGAGAAGCTCTATACAGGCTGTAAAAACTAGACCAGGAGCTGACTGTGGCTCAGACCATGAGCTTCTCGTTGCAAAATTTAGGCTTAAATTGAAGAAAGTAGGGAAAAGCACTAGGCCAGTCAGGTATGAACTAAACCATATCCCTAATGAATATACAGTAGAAGTGACAAATAGATTTAAGGAACTAGATTTGATAGACAGAGTACCTGAGGAATTATGGACAGAGATTCGCAACATTGTACAAGAGGTAGCATCTAAAACCATCCCAAAGAAAAGGAAGTGCAAGAAAGCAAAATGGCTATCTGAGGAAGCTCTACAAATAGTGGAAGAAAGATGGGAAGCAAAAGGCAAGGGAGAAAGAGAAAGATACAGCCAATTGAATGCAGAATTCCAGAGAAAGCTAGAAGAGATAAGAATGCCTTCTTAAATGAACAGTGCAAACAAATAGAAGAAAACAATAGAATAGGGAGGACCAGAGATCTCTTCAAAAATATTGGAGATATTAAGGGAACGTTTCATGCGAAGATGGGCATGATAAAGAACCAAAATGGCAGGGACCTAACAGAGGCAGAAGACATAAAGAAGAGGTGGCAAAACTATACAGAAGGACTATACAAGAACAAGCTTAATATCTCTGATAACCTCAATGTGGAGCTCACTGACCTGGAGCCAGACATCCTGGAATGTGAAGTCAAATGGGCCTTAGGAAGTCTAAGCAACAACAAAGCTAGTGGAGGTGACAGTATTCCAGCTGAACTATTCAAAATCGTAAAAGACGATGCAGTAAAAGTGCTTCACTCAATATGCCAGCAAATTTGGAAAACGCAGCAGTGGCCACAGGATTTGAAAAGGTCAGTTTACATTCCAATTCCAAAGAAGGGCAATGCCAAAGAATGTTCAAACTACCGCACCATTGCACTTATCTCACATGCTAGCAAAGTTATGCTGAAAATCCTACAAGCTAGGCTCCAACAGTATGTAGACCGAGAACTGCCAGAAGTGCAGGCAGGATTTCGAAGAGGCAGAGGAACCAGAGATCAAATTGCCAACATACGCTGGATCATGGAAAAAGCTAGGGAGTTCCAGAAAAACATCTACTTCTGCTTCATTGACTATGCTAAAGCTTTTGAAACCATAACAAACTGTGGCAAGTTCTTAAAGAGATGAGAATACCAGACCATCTTATTTGTCTCCTGAGACACCTATATGCCGGTCAGGAAGCGACAGTGAGAACTAGACATGGAATCACTGACTGGTTCAAAATCGAGAAGGGAGTTCGACAAGGCTGCATACTGTCTCCTTGCCTATTTAACTTATACGCAGAGCACATCATGAGAAAGGCAGGACTGGATGAGTCAGAAACTGGAATTAAGATTGCAGGGATATCAACAACCTTAGATATGCAGATGATACCACTCTAGTGGCGGAAAGTGAAGAGGAACTAAAGAGCCTCTTGATGCGGGTGAAGGAGGAGAGTGCAAAAGTTGGCTTGAAGCTGAACATTAAGAAAACTAAGATCATGGCATCTGGCCCTCTCAATTCCTGGCAAATAGATGGAGAAGAAATGGAAGTAGTGACAGACTTTATTTTCTTGGGCTCCAAGATCACCGCAGATGAGGACTGCAGCCAAGAAATTAAAAGACGCTTGCTCCTGGGGAGGAAAGCTATGACAAATCTAGACAGCATACTCAAAAGCAGAGACATCACCCTGCCAACAAATGTGCGTATAGTCAAGGCGATGGTTTTCCCAGTTGCAATGTATGGCTGTGAAAGCTGGACTATTAGAAAGGCTGAACGCCAAAGAATTGAAGCCTTTGAATTCTGGTGCTGGAGAAGACTTCTGCGAGTCCCTTGGACAGCAAGGCGATCAAACCGGTCAATCCTGGAGGAGATCAACCCTGGCTGCTCTCTAGAAGGCCAAATCCTGAAAATGAAACTTAAATACTTTGGCCACCAAATGAGAAGAAATGACTCACTGGAGAAGAGCCAAATGCTGGGTAAGATTGAGGGCAAAAGAAGAAGGGGGCGACAGAGAATGAGGTGGATGGACGGAGTCACTGAAGTAGTCGGTGTGAGCTTAAACGGACTCCGGAAGATGGTGGAGGACAGGAAGGCCTGGAGGAGCATTGTACATGGGGTCGCGATGGGTCGGACACGACTTCGCAACTAACAACAATTCAAATATAAATCAAAGAAATACATTCTTTTTATTTTACTTATTACAAGAAAATCAAAATATAATCCTCGTGAATTTCGAATAAAATATTTAAAAACAACGATACAATTAAAAAAATAAATAAATCATTGAATACAATATTTTTGTTCTAGATTCGGAAATAAATGCAAACTTTTTAATAACTATTTTATTGACGCAGTTAAAAATGTCAAAAAAATACAGAATCCTTGTCGAAGAGAGGTTATGCCTAATCCTTTTCTTCTATTTCCAATACATGAGTCTGAAGTAATTGAGGATATTGGATCGTTAACAGTAAAGAAATCGCCAGGTACCGACGAATTTAATGTTGGTTGTTCTAAAGGTGATTTCCCTGTACGTCACCCCGGTGCTGGTTCGTGTCTCCAATTTAACTACTTCATCGGAAGTCTTTCCTGAGGTTCTCAAGCAGGCTGTACTTGTACCAATTTACAAAAAGTAAATAAAAAGGATAAACAGAATTATCGTCCCATATAAAATCTATCATTAATCTTTAATTAAGGTTTTGGTTGAGTTAAAAAAGTCAGGGTCACGAGCGGGATTCGAACCCAAGACCTTCGGATAAATACGCCGCTGCTCTACCACTTGAGATATCGTGACTTCGATCCACTCGGACACTAACTTCCCATCTGAACGCCACCTTTTGAATTTTCCCTCCTTTTTGCCATTTTTCAAATGTCCTGTTATCAATACTGTAAAACGAATCGTGCTCGTGACACTGACTTTTTTCTCAACTAAAAACCTTAATTAATTGAAAGCTATTAACTGGTCAAGCGGACCACGGAAACTAGTGAAGTTATATATAACTTTTTTACAAAAAACTATAATATTTATGATGGGTGTAAATTCCCGAAACGATCAAGTAAATGAAAATAAATAATGTATTTCCTTTTTTTTAAAAAAACCACCTGGAAATGTTTTCGGACATTAACCAACAAATTTAAAAAATACGGACTATTTGTAAAAATTCCAAGATTCAAATAAAACAGCTTTTAAAAAAATCCCCCAAAACTTTAATTTTAATAAAATGCATTTTTATTGACAATTTATCGACAAGATAAATGAACTCATGTATATATTAATAATAGTTCTGCATACCTAGCACATGCCACGGGTGAATGTATTTATTAACGTGAATATGTGATGTGAGAGGGTCGCCGCTGCTCTACCACTTGAACTATCGTGACCTCGATCCATGTAAATGGCAAAAAGGAGGGAAAATTACAAAAAAAGTGGGGTTGAGATGGGAAGTTAGTGTCCGAGTGGATCGAAGTCACGATGGCTTAAGTGGTAAAGCAACGGCGTATCTAGCCGTTGGTCGTGGGTTCGAATCCCGCTCGTGACACTGACTTTTTTATTTCAACCAAAACCTTAATTAAAGATTAATTAATTGAAAATAATTTATTTGGTCAATCGGATCATGAAATCTAATACATTTTTATTAAATTATTTGAAAAATGAATTAAAAAAAAGAAAAGCTTACTTATTTTCTTCTCTAAAAGTAAAGCTGTGAGTTGTAATCAGTTTGGGTTCCAGAAAAAAAGAAAAGCACTGACAATGCTCTCGTTCCCTTTGTGTCGCAGGTTTTTATGATTTAAATGCTAATAAAAAAGTATCAGTATTTTTAGACATAACAAAAGACACTTTACCATGATATTTAAACTTTAATTAAAATTAAAAATTAATAAATAACTTGAATACCTGGGTATTTAATAACTGTGGTTTAATTCGTACATTAAAAATCGTAGACAAAGGGCGAAGATAAGTTGTAGCTTGAGATCCATGAAATTGTTGAGCATGGGGTGCCGCAGGAGTCTTTTATCATTTATGTTTACTACATAATCCTACATCACGGCTTAATGGGTTCAATCACAGCTATTGTTGATGATATCTCTGTGGAATATTCCCGTAGTAAATGGATGATAGAATCATGATATTATTTTTTTTTTTTTAGAGATTGGTATTCCGGAAACTGTCTATCGTTAAATGAAAAGCAAAAAGTTACGTGTTTCACTATTAAAATATCCATAGAAAATGTAAAAATTAAAATAACCTGTTAAATGATTCTGACCGCCTTAAGCGGTCAAAATAAAACCTTACTCAGTGTTACTAAAAAATTCATTTAAAATGGCCTGACCATGTTGAAGTCGTAAAAACTAGTGTTTTCTGGTTTACAGGAGATCTACTTTCTGCGCAACAAATCAAATAAAGCACTTTTAATTAATGTAAATTACACCTTTGTTTAATCGCATATTACATATGGTATTGCATACTGAGGAGGGGCATATAAAAATACAACTAACGGTATAAATTTTTTTTTTTTACTATGTTTCTCTGTCGTAAAGAGGAACTCTCCCTATTTTTATTTTTTACCTTAAGCTTATTTCATTACATTTTTATTCACACGAAGTTACGTGAATTTTTCAAACTGACCCATTTCTTGTAATTTTTCATTTTATATGACAATTTATTACATATTTAAAAACTAAATTTACAGTGAACTATTCTTACACATCTCCTACAATAACAACTTTCCTAATATTTTGATGGTAGACCTTAAACAGATATTTCTTTAGTGTAGTAGTATATTTTTATTTTTATTTTTATTGATGCATAATTTTTATTTTCTCTATGGAAATACGTTATGTAATAATTTTATTGGTTGTATTACACAAAAATGGAAGAATAAACTGTCCCAAAGAAAATGGTAGGAAGGAACAACTCGTTAATACAATCTCAACTAAAGACATACAACCCAGATAAAACCTGTTTCTGATTAATACATTACACATATATAAGTGTAGTACATTATTCCTTATACATGTTTCATAAACCATCAAAGAATTATAAACAACAAGACTTTTTAAAAATATTTGAAATTTTTCCATCTTACACCATTTAAAAATCAAATTATATTCGACTGGTATGTAGTTTCAATTTTACTACGAGTAATTTTGACGCATGCTATTTATTTATATATTATTGTTTACTAAAAACATCTACGTTTAAAAAATAAATATTTAAATTTCTGCTAAAATATTGGGTTGTCCGGAAAATAATGCAGGATTTTGGTATTAAACAAAAAAAAAGAAACTAGTTACTTTAAAGCAATGTTCTTTAATCAAAATAATTTCCCATACTCTCAATACATTTCTCCCAACGTGTTGGTAACTTATTAATTCCGTCTGAGTAGAATTCAGAATTTTTAGAATTGATAAAGTCAATAAATGCATTTTCCAGTTCCGTTTGATTTTTGAATATTATGTGTTGTAAGTAGTGGTCCAGGTGTCTAAAAAAATGGTAGTCAGTAGGCGAGAGGTCCGGAGAGTAGGGTGGGTAAGGCAAAGTTTCATAGCCAAGCTCCAATAATTTTTGTGACGTTACACGTGACACATGTGGTCGAGCGTTGTCATGCAACAAAATGGGCCCTTTCCGATTGACCAAAGAGGGCTTCATTACTGCCAATTTCTGATGCATGGTATTAATTTGGTTACAGTATGATTCAGCATTGATGGTTTCGCCAGGATTTAAGAAGCTGTAGTGTATTAAACCAAATGAAGCCCACCATACCGTAACCATTACCTTTTTTTGATGAGTTGGGGGCTTTGGAAAATGTATTGGAGCTTCTCCTTTGTCGAGCCACTGTCCAGAATCCACTTTTCGTCACATGTAACAATTCTGGCCAGAAATGGGTCATTTTTGTTTCGACAAAGAAGTGATGCACAAACATCAAAGCGCTGATTTTTTTGGCGATCGTTTAATGAGTGTGGAACCCAATTTTCGAGTTTTTTCACTTTTCCAATCGCCTTGAGGTGGTCAGCGACGGTCGTTTTACTGACTTTGAGTTGCTCTGCAAGTTCTCGAACAGTTGTTTTGGGGTTTTCTTCCACCACTGATCGCAGAACATCATCATTAAGAGAGGAAGGCCTTCCACGACCTTCTTCATCTTCAAGGC